TTAAACCAAGCAGCACAACAGGAGGGGAAGAGCTTTAGCCACAGAGGGGACGGGTTGATTTAGGGTAGGTTTCTTTGTGTGTTCTTTGTAATCTGTCCAGACACATATTTCAGGATACAAGACTCAACATCTGCGTGATGCTCCAGAGGGACCACAGGGATGCTGCCACCACTGATCGCTTTCAGGAACACCAACAGATCTGTCCCAAGCAGCTACGGAGCAGGTGGATTTTGGTAGGACGCACCCAGGCCATGCAGTGAGCTGATAGCCATGCTGTGGCAACTTCTTGCTGAGAGCCAGCAGCCCAAGAAGCCCAGCCCCACGGTGTGCCACAGCCTGCTGGCATGGAGACCCTACTATGGGATGCCTCGCTGCTGAGCCTTCCCTACTGCTCCATCCTGACCCGTGTTCCCAACTCATGTACTCATAGCTGTGGCATGTGAGAAGTAATCTCTGCAGGGGACCTCTTCCTCTGCTGAGCCTCGGCGTGAGGCTGCTCCCATGGCATTTACAGGGTTGCCAGGCCTGAGCTTTAAAAGGAAAGAGAGAACGTTGCTCGCGGCAGTGCCAAGCCCAAATCACACTCTGTGGCTTTACACAGCCTGAGCTGTGCCAGAATCCCCCCAAAGCAGATATGCCCATATCTCCCACAGCCTCTCAGGCTCATCCGTGCATTGGGCCCAATCCCTAAGTTCAGATCTGGTTCCAAATCTATCCCAAATCAGATGTATTTGCCGAGTTGGGGGTTTGCCCTAACCCTATTGCTACGAGACCAGAAGTCCTGCAGGTGTCATTGCCATCCAGACCAGCATCTTCAAGGAAAGGTTTAGCATCCCCCTGGTCAGGGTCCTTGCAAACAGCTCCTCAGCCAGATACAGTGGACAGAATCCCATCATGCCCCTGGTATTTCCTACTGGGAATTTGCACCTTGCTCCCCTTTTTGTCTCTGCTCTCTCACGTTGCTCCACAGTCCTCCAGCTCTCTGTGCTGTTTCTAACCTTGCCCTTTGGTTGCCGTGTGGTTTTCATTTCTGTGTTTAAACCTCACCAGGGCTGACCCATCCCGTGCTCTGCTGTTGTTTGGGTTGGTGGTATTGACTTTTCTGTCTTGCCCTTCTTGTCTTAATTTAGCGTCTGCTTCTCTCTCAGGTTAATCAGTGGATTAGCTGCAGCTCTCCCTCCCTCTCTCCTAAATCCTCATCCTTCATCACGAATCTAGGAAACAAACCAGACCAGGTACTTTTCCATGGAGGCAGCCAAACTATTTGCTTTCCTATCAGCCAGCCTCTCCCACACCATTCTCTAAGCCTTTCTGACCCCGGGACACCCACTTGTTTGCAGACACCCCTGCCTACCCACTGCCCCTGCTCTGCCTGGACCTGCTGCCTGCCCATCCTGGGGTCACCGGCAGGGTTGTCCCAGGGCATGAATACACCAGAACAGGACCAGAACTTCCCAGATCTCACCCGGGTGCCATCCCGTTCTGCCCTGCTTTCTCCCCGCTCCTGCCTGTGCTGCCTCTTCCTCCTGGGGCTGCTTGCAGATTCCCTGTCCCTGAGATCATCATCCTAGCCAGGGGAGTGATTGCACAGAGCTGACATCCTGCTCCCACAGACACACTCAGCTGCCGCCTCTGCTCCCAAGGGCCATCACTGTGCTGATGCCCTTCATTCCTACCCGCTGGGGTCCCTCGGTTCTTGGAGCAGCTCATTCCCTGCTTAATACCTTCCCACTCTGGGATGGAGTTGTTTGGCTCTGACCTGTGAATGACCCTGAGAGATACCCAGTATCTCAGGCCAGTGGGATGCTGTCAGAGCAATCCATCCTCCCAACTCCAGAGAGGGAAGGGAGCAGCTGATAGTTGTGATGCACCTGAAGTTTTAAGACCCTTAATATTTTCTGCTTTAATCAGCAGCTTCCAGTGCTGGCTGAAAGCAAGATAAACTCTGTCAACCCTGCTGCAGGTGGGCAACTGAAAGAAGATTCTCTGAAATGAAAACTTGAGCCCCTGTAGAAAGGTGTCTGGATCCCAGGAAATACCATTTCCTTGAACAGTGGTGCTAAATGGAGGGTGCAAAAGTGTCTGGTTCAGCTCTGCCTCAATGTGTGCTCTATCTGAATGTCCCTGATGCTAAAGAGCCAGTTTGAGCGCTGAGGAACCTGTAGCCTCAGCAGAGTTCAGTAGCACAGGACGGATGCAGTCTTCCTGTTGGAAAGGGAGTGCCATGCAAGTGCCTTGTTCACATGGCATTGACTGGGAAGCTCTTGCACCCCTGACATGGTATTGGGGCTGTGGCCCCTGGTTTTCCCATGCAGGCTCACAGCTCTGCCAACCATGTCCTGTGCAGCAGAAGATGGCAGTGGTGTTTTAAGGGCTTCAGTCACTTTTACCTTCTCAGGGAGCTGGGTCTGAGGTGTGGTGTGCTGACCCTTCCCCTCCCCTCGTTTCCTAGCTCTATGGTTCTCCTGCCAAACCTTGAAGGCTCCAGTTCTTCCTGTCTGTGATGTATCATCTTGTAGACCACAGAGCAGAGGGCACTGCTGCAGCAAACCCTCATCAGAGGGAGAAAAGAAACCTCCTTAGGAGGTCAAGGCCCCATTGTGATGGGCACTGAAAATCCAGGGAGAGCCACATAGCCTGCACCCACCCAAGAATAACTGGCCAGAAGCAGTAGGACTGGGAGGAAAGGCCCAAGACTGCGTTATCCTCACTGGCCATGGGAGCATCAGTCCAGATAGGTGCTGGTGGAGGCAGGAGTAAACCCTACACTCAGCACTTCCAGATCCATGGGTGCCAAGCACAGAGGTGGATCATTCAGCAGGTCCCAGGGGCTGGCATGGTGTGAGCCAGCGGTGGCTGATGTTTAGGTCACCTGCCAGCATTGTATCAGCACCCAGAAAATGTGCTGCCTCTGGACTTTGGTGGATATTTGGATGCTTCTCATCTACCTGCTTGAGATCAGGCAGCTTGAGAGCCCCTTCCCATTGCACTGAGCTTGCCATGATGTCCAAGCTGCAGAACAGCAAGGGTGAGGAGGAGAGCAGAGCCGAGCTGAACCAAGGAGAGGGGTTGCCATGTGAAAAAACAATTCCAGCAGCTCACATCTATGACCCAACTTTTCAGCTCAACCGCTCCTGCCAAAGCAGTGCTTCCAAAGCTGCAGCTCCCTGATAAAACCTAATACCATCGCCCATAAATTGTATTAAATAAACAGCAGCTGCAGATCAAGGTATATTCATCAAGGGCTTCCTCTATTTTTTTCTTTTTATGAATGGTTGAAGACTCAGAGATGCTGTTTGCCAATAGTCTGTCAACGGAGCCTGCATTTAAAATCAATTTGGTAATTACAACTCCAACTCAGAGCCACAAATCAAAAAAGAAACTTCAGCCCTTCAGGATGTTTTGGACCATTAGGGAGCTGGTAATTACGCACCCCAGCCGGGCATTAATTTAAGGCCCTGGTGGAAAAGTGATGGTGTGAATTTGAGACAGGAAACTGACTGCAAGGAATTTCAAAGGTTGGGAGGCGTGCTGTCAGTCTGTTTACAACCACCTAGCTTAACATGGTTAAAATCTGCTAGGGAACACTTGCTGAACTCAGGACTGCCATTGTGTTGGTTTATTTTTCCTTGTGAAAGAGGCCGCTTTTCTGTCAGCAAGGAATAAATGAGGAAAATATATATAACCTCTGTTTATATAGGATCTACACTGTTTGTACTGTGCTACTCCAGGTCACTTGGATCCAAGTGTGATGAACGGTGTGTATGTGTGCATAGATAGATATATGGATACAGACAGAGAGGAGGGTTTGACAGAACCAGCCAAGGGAGCATAGCTTTAATTCTGCTAGCAGTGAGTTTGACTGCAAAACACCATTGCACCCCCTCCCCTTTAGCATGTCAGGAGAAGACCTGGAGGCAGAGCATCCCTTCTCACTGCACAGCAGAGCACAGCCCTGCTTTGCTCAAGCCTGGTTTTCTGGCAGCATCCTTTGGTTCATGTAGCGTGTGCTGTGTCCCCAGCGACTCCTGCTTCCGAGGAGGAGGTCAGCCAGCTGTACCTGGCCAAATACCCTGTGTTACAACATGAGGAGTAAGGGGCTCCCCCTTGCAACTGCTACAGCCAACCTCAGCGTTGCAGCATCAGTCTTGCTATTCCTGTAAAACTGGATAACGTTCAGTAGCTGTAAATGTTATTAATGGTCATAAAATGATCCGGTTCTTCAGAATATCCTGTTTCACTGGTTGTCTCAGAGATCTCCTGCAGGCTGGTCCCAGAGCCCCATTTGTCTGGACTCTGAAGTATCATGTCTCCGTCAGGAGAGCTGCAGAGATGGTTAAGCTCCAGGGACCAGCAGAAGGATAAGGCTGGATTTTGGACAATAGGGAAGGAGAAGCCCCTGGCCTTTCTGGCCCAGTCTGGTCTGCCTGTTGCCAGCCCAGCTGGGGCTGTAAGGGCTCCATTCCCTGTGATGAAATGCCTATCACAAACCCAGGGCCCTCCCTTAACCCATGCACTGAATGAGGGGCCCCAGTGCCTACTGCAAGCGTCAGGGAAGGTGCAGAAAATCCAACTAATGGGTATCTCAAGAGGTCAGAATCACTCTTCTGCCCTACTCCTCCTTAGCAGACATTGTGTTTTCCCTCCGCTTAGACGGTGCAAAAGCAGAGCCAGCTCTGACCACTGCAACAGCTTTACTCTGGAATGAACAGAGCAATTGGGCAAACACAAAAAGAAAAACTGGGAGTTTGATGTTCAGGATTTAAATCCTTTAATTTTAAGTTGCTAAGAACAATGAGCTAATGGCTTTGTAATCCAGGGGTTTGGGGTTCTTGTGCCTCTTGTGTCTCTGGTTCTGCCCTCCCCTCAACAGCTCCATCAGACTCTGATGAGGACGCTGCTGGCCCCGGCATAAAAGCTTCCTCCTGTAAATAATGAAGTAATGAAGTAAGGATGTGTCTCGTAGCAGTCCATTAAATGGATGCGTCCAGGCTGCCGGAGGAGCTTTGATGACTCGGGCGCTCAGAAGACAGAGCCACAGCAAACAGGCTGATTAAATATAAACCCAGCTCCAGTAGTGCAGTGCGAGGGGCTAGGGCAGGGCAAAGCTGCCCTGCAGACAGTGCTCCAGCTCTGGCACGGGGGGCATGAGGTGGAGAGGAATGTTTTTACATGCTGCATTTATGGCAGAAGTGAACCTGTGGAGCTGAGTCTGTGTGATGGTGTGCAGCCTGGTGCTGGGGATGAAGGAACTCATGGGGTTGGCTGCTTGTAATCACAGAGGTAAGACAGTGTCCCTGAAAGCAGCCTGAGGGATGGCAGGGTGGGAGGGACTCCCAACATGAGGGAGCCATTCCTGGGCTCAGGGCCCCTAGGTGTGAAGGGGGAGATGAGGTTTGTAGGAAGCTCCTTCATGCCAAGAAGCTTCTTCCCCATTATCCAGCCTGTTTTCCCTTTCCTAGGCATATCCCTCAGCCTTGCACAGTGCTCCTGCTCCCTGCTTGGTTCTTGCACCCTCCACTCTGTAGAGAGCATCCTTTCATCTCCCCTTCTCTCACAGCTGTGGCTTGCCAAGACAGACAGATTTAGCTCTTTAAATCCTTCCTTGTGAGTCAATCTGTTGCAGTGTGATGTCTGAGTGCTCCCCATTTTCTTCTCGAGGTGAAGCAGGGCCACTCTGGTAAGGACCAACCTTGGGACCAGGCATGGGCTGCATGCGAGGGGCCAGGGCTGGGGCTGGTCCATGCTGCCCACCGAGGGCCCATGAGCATGCCTGCCCAGCACACTGCTTCCCAGCTGGCCCTGTATGCTCTCAGCTGCAGAGCTCCATGCCTCCTGCTGCACAGAGAGAGGTGGCTGCTGCCACATTGCCCCGAGCAGAAGTGCTGCCACAGGTTCCCTTCAGTTAAATGTCACTTTGGAAAACACCACGCACCTCGCAGGAGGAGCACAGAGCTATTTTCTATCACAGACATGTCAACGCTTGGCGTTTCCTGTGACTTTCCCCACGTCCCCCCCAGACAAAACCCAAACTACATATAAATACACATTGGAAACGGAGATGTCGTCTTTATTACAAGCCTTGCACTGAATGGCAATTTCTGCATTTGCTTTAAATACATCCATTTAAAGTGACAGGCGGAAAGCTGGCTGAGCCGACACCAGGGAGGCAGCGAGGGAACGGGGTGGGGGGGAAGTGTTAAAATTTTGCTCTCTGTCTGTGCTCAGCCCCTTTCATGAAAAGGCAGCAAGATGTTGGTCTGAACTTGGGAAGCAGTGTTGGAGATGTAGGGGATGGGGATGCAGGGATGGGGATGGAGATGAAGGGATGGGGATGCAGGGATAGGGATGCAGGGAATGGGGACTGTATCACATTTCTCTAGTGCCAGGCTGAGCTGCCTGGGGGAAGGGTGTGGAGAGTGTGCAGTGGGGGTGGGGGACAAGGAGGAAAGGGATATTAAAATGTTCAACCTGAAGTTAGTGACATGCCACCAGGCTCGCGGACCGCGCGCAGAACAAAGGTTTGCATTTGCAAATCAATAAAAATAAACGTGCAGCGAAGACGCAGGAATATTTTAACATAAATCTGCATAAACCCTCACCCTGGAAATGCCTGTGAATGCACTGGCTGGACCCTGTGCCCACATCCCCGGGTCTGGAAGGGGTGTGGGGATGGGGAAGAAGGGCTGACCCCCCCAACTCCTAAACCCCATTTCTGTGCCCAACACTGCATCAGCCATAAAGGGGGCATCGCAAAGGGGGCAGATCTTGGCTGTCACCATCTGAACTCTGTAATTCCTCTGCAGTGCAAAATGTGATGCCATCAAAGGGGAAAATGAACAGGTGCATTATCAGAGTTGACCCGTTCACTTCCAGAGGCATTGCCAAGGTGGGCATCTTCCTTCTCACCAGCCTCAGCACCTTCACTGTGTGCGATGGTGCTCTCTGAACACCAGTGACGGATACTGGGTCAGCAATGGGGTTTCTCTTCACTGGGAAATTCCAAAGGTTTGTATTTTCTTTGTTTTGCTTTGGGTTTTTTGGTTTTTGTTGTTTTTTGTTCTTTTTTAAATCCCAAGAGACAAAAACAACCCCTTAAAATAGTTTGGAAAATGAAAAGCTCATTAAAGTTTTCTGTTCCTCAAAGGGTGAGAATCTAGCAGAGAAAGTTGGGAAAGCTGAACCAATGTTTTCTATTTCCACTTTAAACAGCTCTCAGAATCTTCTGCTAAAATGCCAGCTATCAGCATACTCCCTGAAAACATTCCTGTTTCGGACACAATGCTTTCTGCTGAACACTGACTCTATTGACAGCATCATCTGAACACCAGCCTATTACCATCTGCATTTCAAAGCTGGGGAAACTAAGGCACGGCAGCACCATCTCCTGCTGCTCCAACAGATCCCATTCATGGAACTGGGGGAGCAGGAAAGCGCTGAGGACCAAGCAGAGGGATTGGTACTTGTGCTGGAAGAGGAGGAATGGCCTTGGACCCCTATGCCTTCTGGGACAGTCCCAGGTCTGCGTTGTGGCATCCTGACCCCTGCAAGGGCTCTGCTGTACCTGGGGACACAGTCACACTCACAACTGCTGCACCTCCTGCACTGTCAGCTAATTAACTGCCTATTTTCCCCCTCTTCTTCTGCCTGAATTGCAACAGACATCTGGCAGAGTTTTACATGGCCCCAGTCTTTAACTTTCTGCTTATTAGGGGATTTAATAGTAAAACTTCCCCAGACAGGCATCCTCCAATGGAGTGGCAGCAGGAGCTAAGATGTCCCAACAGGTGGGATCTTTGCTGGGTTTCTCAGGACACCCCACATCACCCATCCCTGCTGTGAAGGTATGGGGAGACTCGGGCTCAGTGGGAGGTTTGCAGCAGGGGGGGCTGGGTCAGAGCTCATCCCTCTCTGCACCTCTGGGCCACCTGCTCCTGCCTTGGTCCCAGCAAGGGAGACACAAACTCCCTGGAACAAGCACCAAGTGAGAACGCGGAATCTCTTCGTCAGGCTGCTAGCTCCCTGGTCCTTCCCTTGGTTTTTTTTTTTTTGCTAGAAATGACCCAAAAGGGAATTGAAACATTTTGTTTCATTTTGAGCAAAGCATTTTGTTTGATCTGAAAAGAACATGGGGCTGGGGAGAGGGAGAATGGTTCATTGCAGCAGCCAGGAAACAGTTCATTTCAGCTCAAATAAAACTTAATTCTGTTACTGCTGCAGTGTTTGCTGCCTGGGGACCTGGGTAGGCAGCAGGAGAGCTGGTAAAGGCAGGAGAGCCCGGCTGAAACAGCCCAGGAGGACACTGGGACCTGAACATCAGAGCTGGATCTCCCTGCTCCAGGAAAATCTTCCATCTGACATATTCAGTTTTGGGGGTATTTTAAGCTTGTCTGCACATTTCCTCTGGTGAAAGAAGGATCCAGACACGATCCTCCAGTGCTGGGTCAAGCATCTTTACCACCGGCCATGCTCTGCACACCCCTAGAGCTCTCCTGCCAGGCTGAAGCAGTGTTTGGCAAACTCACACTCCGTTTCAGGACAGCCAAAGCCACATTTCCCAATGAGTTCAGCAGTTATCCCTCTCCCAGGAGGTCACCCACGTCGTGATGCTTCTGTGCCTACATCTCCATGTCCCCAGGACAGGGCATCCCACAACCGCCCAGCACCAGGACTGTGTGGGTGCAGCCGCAGCCTTCCCTTCTCCAGACCAGCCCGGCTCAGGGCCAGGCGTCTGTGACTAATTGGTAGCAAAGCACTTATCAGGCAAACTTTAGCCTCTCTTCCGGTTCATGCATTGCTCATGAGCTATTTGTGAATTTTTTGACTTTAATTGTTATCCTAAATTATTCATCAAATTATTTCAATAACTAGTTCTTGGGCCAGATTACATTTTATATGAGCTGTTTCCGTGCGTGCTTCTGCCAAAGAACTCACTGTCAAGCAGCCACAGAAAGCAAATGCAAAAAGGGACATGAAACACAGGGAAACAAACTGCAGGAAGCATGAAGGGGACTTTTCACCCCGACCTGCTCAGTGTTTAAGGAACGCTCAGCCTGCAAGAGCATGGGGTTGACCTGCCCAGCACCTCTCAGGAGCTGCCAATGTCAGACCCGTTGCTCCACTGACAGCGGCTGATGGACGAGCACGGTTTCCCCTCCCTTAGGTCACTGGGAGAGTCATCAAACTGATGATAAACCCAGTGCTGCTGGCTCCCAGCACAGGCTCCCACTGCTGGGCTGCATCTCCCTCCTTCAGCCCCTGTTCCCAGAAAGAACAGCCTCTCCCTCCAAATGATCCTCCTGGACCCCAGCACCTCCCAAGCCACCTCTGCTCCAGGAGGAGATGGGGGCTGCTGGCCATGGCTCAAACCACTTCTGAGCAAAGCGTCCAGGAGAGGCTTTACACTCAGGGCAATTAAAGAGCCAAGTGGAGATTTTCCCAGCCCAGCCCACATCCACCAGCCACATCCTGGCACGCTGGTGTGGAAGGAGCGGCATTTCCCATGCAGATCTGGCACAGTTTGTTCAAGGCAAGTGGTTCGACTGCTTGCTGCTGCACATGGGAATGGCACTCGCTGTGTCCTCCGCACAATGAGATGGTGTCACCTACTGCTGTAACCCCCTCCCCAACCACCAGCAGCTGTAAGGGAGGCAGTGGAGGTACCGGTGAGGCTGGGCTATCATTCGGCTGCGAGACTGGAGGCATCAGGGCTGGAATTTTCCCCCAGTGCCACGTTACTGAGCAGTCGGAAGGACTGAGACAATCAGCTGATGTTTGTTTTGCCTGCTCCTGGCCTGGGTGTAGCATAATATCCTGACACTACCCAGTGCTGCGCCACGGCAAAAGAAAAGAACGCGCTGTTGTCTCTCAACTTATTACCAACCTCAGAATGTTTGGGGCAGGGCTGTGCCTGGCCGCAGTGGGGACATCACAGCAATGGGGTCATTGTGCTATTGTGGGGCCCCAACACACCTCTGAGCCTCAACTGGACTACCTCCTCCTGCTGACATCCCAGTACACTGCGGTTCAAACGTCTCAGGCAAGCTTTAAGGGCTTGCTTTGCCCATTGGATGATCACAGCTACCTCTTCTGGTTTAAAAGAGACCAGGAAAAAGCTCTCTTGGTTTAGAAATCTCTGCTCCAAGATGCAGATGCTGCATAGATGTTCAGGGACAGCATCCCTCTGAGGCTGAGCCAGGGCCTGGAGCCACAGCCCAGGCACGTCCCAAACCCACCCAAGCACCTGGGTGCAGGCACACATTCAACGGGTGCAAGCATAGACCATGGCCATAACAAAGACAAGGTGGGAATCGGGGAGGAGGCCTAGAACTGACCCTGTCTGCTCCCAAGATAATCCATCTCCAAAAGCCAGCTCAGGTTTCCTGACTTCAGCAGTACTATTGAAAATTTATGGTTTGAGAAAGTTCTTGGAGCCCAAATCCCTCGACCTATCACCTTCTCAACCTTGTGTTTATCAAGACACAAGTTCCTTTTCCTCCTACCCTTTGTTTTCAGCTTTTGGAGCCTAAGATGCTCAGTGCTCATGGTCAGGCTGTGGGAAGGTGCAATAAATCCTCCCTTTCCTCCACTCCCCTCTTTTTGCCCCTGTTCTCCTTTTTCTGGGCTGGACAGTGGTGCTGATGTTCTGCTCTTTGCCAGCTCTACATGTTCTCTGTTGCCTTCTTGCTCTCAGCTTTCCTCCCTTTATCTCGGTAAAACTGGCATCAAACACCACAAGTTGCTACGGCGACCGGAAAATCACCGCAACCTTGGGGATGGGTGCTGGACCGGGCTGGAAAAGTGAATCACTGATCAATCCCTGAGACATTCCCAGACTGCCAGCTTTCACATGGAGGCAGGGCATGGCAAGGGAGAGACCAGCCTCAGGCAGGGCATCCCCCAGGGCCCCTGGTGCAGGAGGGGAGTTTCTTCCCATTGTTATCATTGTCACCGGGGTAAAAAAACCCCAACAACAGATTCATGGGTTTATTTCCAAAGAGTTTCCCTGTCTCACAGATTTTTGGTCACCTGTGGTGTAAAAGACAATTTAGTGGGATCAGCAGGGACCTTTCAGGCTTGTATTAGCAGGAAACAGTGGAGGGCAGCAGGGTCCCTGCAGGAAACGATGCGGTTTCTGGGTTTGGATGAGGATTGCAGGGGAAGTCCAGCCCCGAGCACAGGGGGACAGCAGGAGCCCAGGTGAGGGGGTGGAAGACTCTCAAGTGCCAGGGATTTCTGAGGAAGGCTTATAAAATTGCTGGAAGTAATGAAAGGAGAGAAGAATGACCAGGAGAACAGAGCAGTTTATTCCAGGAGGAGTGAGATGGCTGCAGAGAGGAGGAAATATGAGAGAGTTCAATAAAACTGTGGACAATTGAGACGAGGTGAATAAGAAACAATTATTCCCATTTTCTCAGAACACAAACCCCCCAGGACATCCAATAAAGTTATGCAGCAGCAGATTTAAAATGAATCAAAGGAAATCTTTTATCGTACGGAGCCCAGGTGGGCTGCAGAGTGCCCTGCCACAGGATGCTGTTGAGGACAAAGCCACCACCCAGGCAATCAAAGCCAAGGGACAGAGGCCTGTGAAGGGCTCTTAGAAACAGTGAAGCAGATAAAGCCTTTGGCTTGGGAAATCCCTGGGTTTGGCGACAGCCAGGAGTTGGAAGGGTTTGCATGGGAGATGGATAGCTGTGCACACTTGATTTCTGATGAGGATCCCTTGGCCAACGTTACCAGCTGCTGCTGGAGATGAGACACCTTTGGTCCAAGCATTTGGTGGACCTGGAGTTCTGGCATTACCTGGAGGGTGCTCAGAGAGGACCAGGCGCCAATCCTGGGCAGCTCAGTGCTTTCAGCATCTTCAGAGCATATTAAACCAGGACATGCCCACTCAGCTGCCCTCCTGCACCTTCTGTCACACCAGGCTTCTACAGCACAGAAAGAACCGGTGAATCACCAAAACAAATGATAAAAAATAGACAAGTTTTAACCCCTGAGATGCTGACAGCTTTGTCAAACCACGCGAAAGATGGACAGCACATTAGACAGATCCATCCAGTAACTCCCCTGCTGGGAGTTAACGCACAAACCCTGGGACATCTCCCTGATGCTCAGCTAGGGAAGATGGGGTGAAACAGACATGGCAGGGGGTCCAAAGCTTCTCCCTTCACAGAGAAGGAGAAGGCGACAAGACCCAAAAGTATGGGCCTATAGAGGGGAAGACACATCTGCCTCTGATACTTAGCCTCCAGCTGGTCTCTCAACAGCCTTTTGCAGAGGACACACCAGGCAGCTCTCACCAGTTATTAAAGTCTGATAAAAATTCCACTCCAGTTAATTCTGCTGGCAGAAAGCTCCAGATCGATGCACAAAAGGCTGTCCCTCCTGACTTGGCTCTGCTTACTTATTTATTTACTTCTAACACGCATCTAGGCTGCACGACAATGAACACTGGGGTTTGGAAGTGGAGGAGAGCTTGTCAGAGGGGAGGATGCAGCAGCAGGGGAGCACCCACTGTGGCACGGGACAGGGACCACCCCTCATGCCACGGTTCATCCTTTCCTGTAGGGACCAGACAGCAACTCTTTTGCTGCCTTATGGTCCAGATGGTATTTTTTGCTTGGGACACTTCACCACATCCACCACCAACCTCAGTGCCTGGTTTCCCACCCCGTCTGGCCCCAAATGCCATTTCACTCTTGATCCTATCTACAGCCACGCCATGGCCACGCTCTCCAGACAGATGCACACAGCCAGCCACGCTCATTTCTCCTTCCCACACAGTTTAATAGCTACTTTGCCGGTGTTTCCTGAGTTTTATATAGCTTTCACAGTCTGCTTTTATGATGTTTGAGTAATTGCTGTTTGTTTATCATGGATGGTATGTCAATGGCTGGGTCACACCCCATGTGCTTTAGCTTGAAAGGAGTCATTTGATATATTTAATTAAAATCTCCTTTTATGCTATTTATCATACCTTTAGGAGTGCAGCTGGAAGACTGGCAGATGAGGTGGATGGTAGCTCAGCCCACACCACCAAACGTGGCAAACCTCAGTCCCTCAACCTTGTCCTTCTCCACGGTCCCATTCGGCCCAGCCTGGAAACTCCTGGCTCCCACAGCTATATTCCTTCCCAAGAGAAATTGAAGCAAAAAGGAATAGGAAAAGCAAAGAGTGCTTCAGCACAGACAGCACTTGGAGATGAAACGAGCCTTTTCCCCAGTAGCTCGCCTGACACCATTCAGGGTATCACCAGCTGCATGGTGGGAGCCAACAATAACTCCATTGCACAAACCTCAGCCACCACACTCACACTTTAGCTGGCCACACTCTCTTTGTGATTGCTAAAGCAGCATCCAAGCAGAGCACTTGTTCAGAAGTGGTAAAATGAAAGATGAGCCCATCAGGGACCAGATTTATGAAAAAAGAGAAAGAAAACTCATTCTCCAACCGTGCAACTGAGGGAGCAGCTGTCCCTCTGCTCCAGGGAAGCCAGGCACCAGCATCCATTCGCTGGCACATCCTGCCTTCTCGAGTCACTCATTTTAGCATTACCCAACTGACAAGGGCTGTGCAGCACCAGTGAAACAGATTGCTGTCACCATTTTTTAGCTGAAAAGGGGGGCAAGCCATGTGGGGAGTGTGTTAGAAAAGAAAAAGCAATACAAAAATCTGCATACACCCAAAAAAAGCCTTTCCCTCAGCCAGGGCCCTGCATATGGGCTGTGGATGCTGGCGTGTGGAGAGGCGCAGGCAGGGCAGGAACAGGAGGATGCTGAGCAGAGGTGATGGGCAGATGGGTGCCCAGGCAGAGCCACCCAGTAGGGACACAGCACCAGCCTGGGTGAGCAGGAGCCAAAGCTTCTGCAGCTCAGGTTAGTGTCACGTTCGGTGCTGACCGACCTCACCTTACACCCAGGGGGGACCAAATCCCAATGAAGCAGTGGCAGGGAGATCAATGGCAGGAACTGCCCCATACCCAGAGGGCCACAAGGAAAGCCACCACCCTTGCCTAAACACCCCATGAACAACTCCACCACCTACTTCACACTTCTTCTGGCTACTGAAGTTTTATTGCCCAGCTGCTGTGAGATCCCCCTTGCTGCCAGCTGGGAACTTCATCAGGTTAATTAATTAAGATTCTTACACCACCTCCCCATCAGACCCTCCTGGGACATGTTGGTGGTGAATTTGGTGCAGAGATATTGTCCCTCTGCTTGTGTGGGTGCTATGGAACATTT